CCCTTATCATGCTTTCTCACTTTCATGACTATCTCTCTCTCTCTAAATCTCATTCTAAGGTGATAAAAATCAAGCTTTCATAAGGTGGGTTTTGTGTAACAATGGAGGAAGAAGAAAGCTAGAGAGAAAAGGGAATTTCGATGGAGAAGAAGAACAAATATGGGGTCAAAATCTGATGTCTCCTCCTTGTACATGTTTGGTCAAATGGTGGACCCCACATGTCCACCCCGAAAACCCTAAAATGCCCTTACTTGTAAGCTAAATCCCCACAATGCCATACATATGCAAAATTCCACTTATATCCACATATAAACATCAAATAATATATATAACATGTACATGATTTTAGAAAATAAATCCGAGCATGCAATTCCAAGCGTGGGGCCCACACGGGACCTCCCGACCCGAAAATCCAAAAATTACTAAAACGGAATGAAATGCATTTTAAAGAGTTTTAAACTCAAATAAATATCCTAAATGACTAGCGGGGTCCTCGTGGCATGAGAATCGGTGCATGACACACAAAATGATGCATTAAAAACATAATTACTAAAAATTCAAAAAAATTCGAGAAGGCACATTGAGTCTACTCTCTTTTCTAATGATTAGAGGAGGGATATTGCTGATAGGAGCCACGACTCAACCATGGTTGCTCATAGGTAAAATAGGAGAAAGCAGAATACCCATGGATCTAACTACATCAGGTCTAAATCAACGGGAGGAAAGGGCAAGTAGTGCCATAGATGCCGTGAATGAGGCTATATCAAAAAGTTGTCCACTTGGAAAGGGAAAGGAACATACTTTAGACTTTGGAGATCTATTCATAATTTCCCAAGGTAACACTCTTACTCGACATGACTGGATATTATATTCGGTCTACGAATCATATTTGCTCCGTGAAAGAATATTTTGATTCATTTTAAGTACTTCAGAATAGTTCTTTGACTATGCTCAATGGTGATACATGTATTGTGAATGCTGTGAGAATGATAAAAATCAAGATGTTTGATGGAGTGGAATGCACTTTAAAGGACGTTGCCTACATACCAAAGTTTTGGTGTAATTTGATATCCTTGAGCCAGTTAGATTCCATAGAATGCAAATGCTCCATTACAATGGAAGTCATGAAGATTATAAAGGGTTGCATGGTGTTGATGTGAGGAGAAAAAAAGAGGTGGTTTATATTATCTGGTGAGGTGTTTCAGCCAAATGATGATGAATTGAAAAATCTTGCTTGTGAATAGGTCTCTTCAATGTCCCCTTTCAAAGTCACTTGATCGTGTTGACTTGGTTCGGCTGCACGTATGCATTGGCCATGGAATTAAGGTGGAGTTTGGAATTGGTTTGGGTTATGTGTAACTGGTGTATGAAAGACTAATGGACTGCTTGTGGATTTGCAAGTAGGAGTTTTGCACGTTAAGACTTGTGAACTCTAACCAAGGGGGATACTAGGACTTAGAAGAGGTTTGGACTCTACGGGTGTGCTCGGTGATTTCTCTTCTTCGTGGGTGGAAGGGGAGATTGTTGGGGTCCACCCACGTTATACCAGACATAGCGCTAAGGCGGTCAAATGACGTCAACCTTAAGGAGAATGATAGCTTTCATTGTATTTTGAAAAGGTTATAACTCTCAAATGAGAGGACTACTTTTATTGTATATAAAAGGACACGTTGTGTGGTGAAAAATGAAAGATTAGATATTCCTTGTGAGTGATTGGGGTACAAAAGGGTTGAGGATGGTGAGTGATATCTCTGTGTAATTCTCTATTATTTTGTACAGTCTTACAATCTAATGGAAATTAATCTTATTTTCTGTGGACGTAGCCCTGATTTTGGGTAAACCACGTATATCTCCTGTGTGTTTATTATGTTTTGTGAATGTTGTGGCAATGTCCTCTAAAGTGCGTTCCATTCCATCAAACATCTTGATTTTTACCATTTTCACAACATTCACAATACACGTATCACCATTAGGCATAACCAAAGAACTATTCTGAAATACTTGAAACAAATAAAAAATAACTGACTCATAAAGGGCTTGTTTACTAACAGGAATGATTCCTGATTTCTGCTGTTAATTCCTAAAATTGAGAATCAAAAGTAAAAATCATGTTTAATAAAATACTTTCATTTTTTAATTTTAAGAAAGTACTTTTTAATTTTGTGAAGAAAAGAGAAAGTAAGAAATCCACATTTTATCTATTTTCTACATTGTTTGTATAAATTACTTTATCTACTGTAGCACTATTTATCCAAAATAAAAAATAAAATCTAACTTGTCATCTTTATCACTCATCTTCTCCACCCACCTCCTCCCACCATAGCCACTGCCACAACCATTTCTCTTCTCTCTCATACATATCAAAAGCCATCAACAATATACCCAAATCAACTTCAACCAATCACAAAAAAAAGAAAAAAGAAAAAAAAAAACTGAAAGAGCAGACCCTCGCCATCCACAACCACCACCATTGCCGACAACCACCGCCATCATCGCCACATCCGAAATCTTCTTTGGTTTATGTTAGAACGCCTCCGTGTCTCTTTCTCTCTCTCTACAAACACTCCCGATAAAAAGAAATGAACAGAATTTTGAACTTACAAGCTCCCCAGTTTTATATGCACTTTCCAGATGACAAAGTTTTGGTCGAAATAACATGCTTCCCCTGTTCTTTCTAAATCAGGAATCAATTTCTCTAAATTAGGAATCAATTTCTCTATCTTCTAAGACCTATCTGCACTACTTGCTTCTTTGGTCAAAGGGGATCTGGATCTTGCGATGCCCTTTGATTTCAGTGATCTAGGTCTTGCAGTGATGATATATGGGTCTTGCAAGTCTTGCAGTGATGATATATGGGTCTTGTAGTGATGATATATATATATATAGAGCATATAACATTGATTGTCAATTTAGAAAACAAAATCAAAATTATAATTATTGAACTTGTTTTCTAATTTCTTGTTTTGAAATATTGAAAGCATGGTAAATTAGTAAACATATTTTTACTTTATATTTCAGATTCAAAAATGAAAATTATGATTTTACTTTTGGAGAGAGCAAAAATAAGAAAGTGAACACGTTGGTAAATGGGCCCAAAATACACCAATCATTCACAAAAAAAAGAAGAAAACTTGTTGGGCACAACAGAAGCAAAATATTAACCAAATTACAAATCACAATACAAGGTTTACATGGTTCACCAACTCAGGGCTACGTCCATGGATAAGAAGATTCATTATAATCATGTAAAGATATTACAAACGTGTAAACCCTCCCTACCCATTGTACTCTCATCCTCGCGATATTACCTTTACGGGCTATACGTCTCTTCACTCATTAAGGGTGCATACGGTTCGGTTCTGTACGGTTCCAACTAGAACCGGAACCGTTCACAACGGTTCTTTAATATTGGAACCAGAACGGAACTGGAATCGTGTAGGCATGGAACCGAACTGAACCAAACCGTGAATACCGGTTCGATTCCATGGTTCTCACTGACTGTTTGGCTATTTGCTCTTATACTCTGTATGGCCAACAAATAATGACCTACTGGTGAAAACATAGGGCTGGACATCCACATATACTCTAGTGATCTTGTTCATGAATGAGCTCTTCCTAACATTTGGGATGAGGGGAGGCGAGGGTTTGGTAAGTGGTAACTTTGTATAATGAGGCAGCCTAGTAAGCTGTAAGTATGTATTTGTAAATAATAATATATATATATATATCTATACGGTTCCGGTTCTTACCCATTCCCGCGGGTCTGGAACCAAAACTGAACTGTACACCCACAGTTCCTAATTTCATGACCGGGACCGGAACCGGAGTCGGAACCGAAACCCACGGTTCGGTTCGGTTCTTATGGTTCCACGGTTTTTTTGTGCACCCCTACCACTCATGCTTCGCAACAATAACCTACATATCTATTTATAAAGCCCAAACTCAACTCCTTGTTCAACAAGGATTACAATTCCCTAGCTTATCAAAAAAATTACACGATAAAATATTGCTTTAAAATAGATATGTAATTACAATAGAATTTGAGACAACATTATCCTAACAATCTCTACTTTGGCTCAAATTCTTTCACGTCAATTAACTCTTTTCACAACAATTGAATCTGACAACTCACCCTTGTTGTCCTTCAAGGCTCCACCTTGACTCAAAATTTTTGTCATGTAACTCATCACGATCCGTCTAGCTCTTTTTCGGGCTAAGAGCGCGAACCCACTCTTTTTTTAGGCTGGGAACAAACCTTGGCAGAGAGCAAAATCACCATCCTTTTTTCTGGGTTGAGAGAACGAACCCACTTTTCTTTTAGGCTTGGAGTGAACTTTGGCTGAAAGCAAAAACCCTTTAACAACCACCGTGATTGAGCAAGCCGACTGATTGACTCCACCTGTAACTGAACCTATTGCAACACTTGTTGAGAACAAGATTTCCACTAAATTATAAAACCATACAAAATAATAAAAGATTACACATAGATATCACTCACCACCCTCAACCCTTTTGTACCCATTGAGTTGATGTCATCTCTCATATTTCACTGCACAACGTGTCATTTTATTATATATAAAATTTGTTCTCTAATTTGAGAGTTATAACCCTTTCAAAACACAATGAAAAGTTATCATTATCCTCCCGTTGATGTCATCAGACTATTAATTGACGTTATTTATGGTACAACGTGACTCAGAACTGATTTTAGTGAATAAGGATAAACAGGGACAATGGGGCCACACACAAGGTTTAAAAGTGGTATTTTTGTAATTTTAAAATAATAATTTTTAACCTTTAATTTAATATTAAAGAATAAAATTAAATTTATCATTTCACAACAACGAGTAAATTTTGTTAGCTTAGGAAACGATTTGATTCTGTTAAAGTTTTATACACAATTTTAAAAGTAGGGGAGGGTTTTATAATTTTAGCTATTTAAAATATGAATAATAAGATAACACGTGGAGGTCTTGAAGCAGGTGCAGCAATCAATCCCTGTACCGCCGTTTTACCCGGACATTTCTCGCTCTCTTCTCCTTCTAACTCTCTGATAATCCGAAACCTAGAATTACCCTAGCTTCTTTGCTCAGTGCTCACTCACAACTACAAGTCGCCGAGTTGAGTTGAATTGAGTTCAGCAAAAACCATTCAAGCCTTGGACGAGAACATGCAAGTCGCTTCCAATGCTCGCCGACTCGCTAGGGTTTTGAGAACTTCTCATCCCCCTCCGATTCTTCCTCACCACCATCCGTTTCAAACTCCTCATCTCGAATCTCTTACCAGTGCTCTTCAATGGTGTAGCTACAGCACCCTCTGGTCCCTAGGTATTACCCACATTTTCCACTTCAATTCACCGTTTGGTTGCTCAGAAAAAGAATTTAAGAAATTTAGTCCAGAAAAAGAATTTATTATTATTATTATTATTAGTATTATTATTATTTATTGTTGTTTTTAAGTATCAGTTTAGCGAAGACAAATGGTTGTACAAGGTTAATCGGATTGCAATATTTTTTTTTGTCTTTTTCTAGTTTATTTTCTTAGCAACCAAACAGTGCCTATGATATGTTTGAAGGAATGATTTTGTAATACTAGAGAGTGAATTACACAGGGATGATTCACGACAATTGCGTGGACTTGGTGTTGAATGATTCACGGCATATGTTGCAACAGCCTTCGTGTTCAATGATGATGATACATAGGTCATTGTACTCTTCGGAAGCTTGTACGGATGAAGCCGGCAGCACAGATAAAGCCGGTCCTACGGGTATTACTTGCACTTGTTTTGATTTGTTTGGAGTTTGTTTGTGAAGATATGTTTGTGATATAAGCTTTGTGATGTTCAAATGCAGAGGCTGTGAAGAAACTGTACGATAAAATGCTTAATTCTGTAATGGATAAAAGGTCTGCGCCTCCGAATGCTTGGTTGTGGTCACTCCTTGATAATTGTGCCAACCACGAAGACATTAAGCTTTTATTTGATATTCTGCAACACCTCCGAAGATTTGTTAGTTACTATTTTTACACCATCATTATTTTGATATTTTTTTTTCTTTTTAATATTTTTTTTGTTCTTTTTGGATTTAAAGATTGTCTACTGTGATAACTGGGCTATTGGATTTTGCTGCAGAGACTTTCGAATCTTCATATTCATGAAAATTTTAATTGCAACCTTTGCCTAGGAGTTACTAAGGCTTGTGCTCGTGTAGGGGCCATTGAATTTGGTATGTTTTATCAATGCCCTTCTTGTATCTGATTTTTGAGTTGTTTCTATCATAAGTTCCTGTTTTGATGATCAGTTTTTCTTGTGTAACATGGTTAAACTTCCAAACTAATTCTCTGTGATGTTTGGTTTTTAGTTGTTAGTTAGACCTCTTATATATTTATTTATTTTTATTTTTTTCTGAACGTAACGAACTCGTGGCTTGTTGAGCGGCAACACAAGAAGTAAGGACATATAATAAGGAACTCAAATGATCTGGTGCAAGACTAACCATGTGTCTCCCTCGTGGATGACATTTAATTATATTTGCTTTACAGTCTAGTGAGCATTATTTGCGAATTATCTAAAAGGATGATTGATTATTGTTCATAATACCTGTCTAGATTCTATACATAGACATGATAATATGTGCTTCCCAAGCTTTAGTTTTATGGTGGTGTTATCTTATATCATGCAATGCAAGTAAGAAATTGAAATCCTGACCCCTTTGCCCCTTATTTTTTTTTTAAAAAAAGAAAAGATTTTGTTGTTAATAGTATTTGCCTAAACTCTGAAAAAAAGGTAGTTGAATAAATATATCTCAATCAAAAACAGTCCATGTAGTTGAATTGCTTCTCTTCTATTTTGGTGGTTCTGACTCTGCTCTTGTTAATCTTTGTAAATACTTAGAATTGCTGTGATTGTTCAGTTCTCGATTAAATGGAATGATTAAGTTTTAATGTGCTTACAGGTAAGAAAGCATTGTGGAAGCATAATGTGTATGGATTGACTCCTAGTATTGGATCTGCACACTATTTGCTGGTATTTATGGTTTTTGACTATTGTACAAGGTTATATGGGATCTATGCATATATTAAAATTTTGATTTTATATGACTGCAGTTGTATGCTAAACAACACAATGATGCTAAACTCATGGTAGAAATAATGAAACTTCTGAAGAGAAACAATTTGCCATTGCAATCAGGTACAGCTGACATTGTTTGCAGGTACGTAATTGTAACATGAACTTCATGCCTTTGCTTATTGTACTAATATATACTGTGAAGCTTATAACCATATAAATATGTTTCTAGTCATGTCCAATGATCTTTGATACTTCAGATGATACCCATCTATATCAAAACTCAAGGTTCAACTTGAGACATTAAAAACCTAATGGCTGGCGCTTACTAACTTTTTGATGTGCTGCCAAGGGGAAATATATTGCAAGCTACAAAATCAAATTAACACTTCTTCAATGTGAACCACATGCTCTTTTTATGTGCATACAAGTATATGTGTGTGTTTGTGCAAATTGAGTTCTTTAGTTGCAGGTATACATGTCTTCTGACATTGTTAAAATATATTGGTTTCTGGAATTAGTGGACCATGCATCTCAATTCTACTGAAATAGTGACGTTGTTTTGAAGTTTATGAACTTGCATGTTTCAAAAAGCTTCACTTCCTGTAACACTGTATGCAGGTCATGTTTAATCCTTTTGATGGCTTTACATTGAGGTTTTCAGAGTTTCATAGCAGTTAAATTGTATTCTTCACTGTCTTACATTGCCAAATTTTCTTAGTTTATGTCGACTCTTTCCCAATCAAGTGTAGTTCGGTTTACATTATTTTAATAAATTTTGACACGCTTTGTCAGTTCTAGCTTATTTAAAATACATTTTAACAAGCCTTGTCCGCTCTTGGTAACTTAACATGTTCATTGCTAAACAAATAGACATCAATTAACTTCATTTTTGTTGGTCTCAACATGTTTAATGTTTCATATTCGATTTGACCTATTGCAGCATCTGTTACAACACTGATAATTGGGATTTGATCTCCAAGTATTCAAAAAAATTTGTCTTCGCTGGAGTGAAATTGAGACAGACTTCCTTTGGCACATGGATGGAATTTGCTGCCAAAATAGGTCTTTACAAATTTTCCGTTCTCTTGAATTATTTTGCTTGAGATGTGTATCTTTTATCTTGTAATTTATTTATTTTTTTGTTATTATTTCTTGGGGAACCAATTTTGTTTCCATCCTTTATCTGCCGATTCTGCCCATTATGTGTGTACTGGTGGTTGTTGAGAAGGGATTGGGAAACCAGTACCCTATCGTACCAGGGAAAAAGACATCTCAACGAGTTTAATCATTGTGGCTAATGTTAGATTTTCTTGGATTTCAAGTGATGCTTCCTTCTTAGCCATGATTGTTTTATTGTTTACAACGTGATTCAATTTTCCCCTTTACAGGAGATGCTGATTCTTTATGGAAAATTGAAAAGTTGAGATCAGATTTAGTGAAAGAACACACTCTTGCAAGTGGATTTTCATGTGCTAAGGTATTCAATCTATGTCATCCATTTATCTTGCATGCTGTGTCTTGGTACAGAAGTTGATTTTCATAGAAAAAAAAAGGTAAGATAACTCAACTCAACAGCCTTACTCGAACAACGACAACCAAGCCTTTTCCCAATTACTTGGGGTTGGCTACATGAATCCTATGTTTCCGTTCTGCTCTATTTAAGGCGAAACAAGCCTCTCTTTTTTTTTCCTGAATAAACAAGCCTTTCTCCAACTACTGAATCAATTTTCTCAAGTTGGCTTGGTCTGAAAGAGTTATGATATGCTCATATTTGGAATCTGAAGTTCCATGCTGTATCTGAGTTAACATATTTGTATTTGGATCAATAATTCAAGGGAAAAAATCACTGACCTCCCCTGCTGCAGTGGTGGACCCACAGAGGTCAAGTGGGGGCAGTTGTTCCCACAGGACTTTCTTGTAATTTTTAATACGTATATAGACTTTTAGTTAATTATATAAATCGCCCCATTGAATCTTATAAAATTCTCAAAAAGACCCTTACATTTTCTCTTGTGCTGGACCTCGCTGTATTTAAAAAAATGTTAAAATCGTGAAGCATTCCACCTTTCTTTTGAGAGAGAGAGAGAGAGAGAGAGTTTAGTTCTCATCCGTGAGACTGGAAAGAGAGAGAGAGGAGGGGGAGGTTATTTTGGCAACTAGTGGCAATACAATAATAGGCATGTGAATCAGATTAATTAATTTGTATTTTGATTGTCTTGGGTTATTACTTGATTGCCAAGAACTAATTAGAGAGGTTAATTAGTATTTGGATTATTTTAACAAATTTGTGAGACTTCTATTAGATAAAAAATAAAACTTATTAATACAAGATTAATGGATACATTTATTATTTTACTTATATTTTAGAATGAAATATGTTGTTATAGAATTCTGCTGCTATCTTGGATTTAATTAAACTTATGTTATTTTATTAGTCCTTCATTAAATGTGAATTCTTAAGTTGATTTGATTATATGAACTCAATTTTTAAATAGTAATGGAAAACATATTGACATCAATTTTTTAATTTATATATTTATTACTTTGGTTTAAATTCCTTTATATGTCAAAGATTGCCTCCACTGAATTGAATTCCTGGCTCCGCCACTGCCCTGAGGTTTATACTTGTGTAACTGTTTCCTCCCTCCACTAATGCTCAAATGTAGTCAACTTCATTTTTTACTGATGTCAACTAAAGTTTCAGGAACCTAATTTTGCCCTTGTAACCTTTTTATGCATAAAATGATTTTATCCTTGGTCTATCACACAAAGTTACCTGAATACCTCTTTTGGCAAAACATGACAAAAATGCCTTCATTTAGAACAACCCTCCTTTTCTTCTCCTCCATTTCCAAAAACCCAGTTTTATATATATATATATATATATATATATATATATATATATACCTACATATATGTGTGTGTTTTTGTTGCTCCAAATCAATTAAAATTTCAATTTATGGATTTGCAAAATATGCCAACCTTATATTTAATCCCTAATTATGTATATTTTGTAAACTCACCAAGCCTATCCCTCCACTTCTACTGACACTAACAACCTATCACACTGTAAGCAACCACTAGCCCAACTTCCATGGAAAGTAAGCATCGTTCATTGTAATGCGTGTTGATTGAGAACGATGAGCTCAATTTTCCTTTTACCTCAGCAGGCCAGTGTACCCTCCTCCTCCTCCTCCTCCTATTCTCTGTCTCTCTATTATATGAAGGGCGTAGATTCTTCGTCAGAGGCAATTTTCTATTTTGTTTGCATAGACAATAAATGTAGAAGTCTGATGTTAGGTTTTGAAGTAAGGCTTGAGACGGCTGAAATAAGTTGAACTGTAGAAAAGCGGCCGTAGATGATTTTATTACTCAAGTATTGTTGAGAGGTTTCTAGCATTGCCCAATAGATGGTTTCCTAGTGTGTGGGTGTGCGTATATGCATTTAGCTCATATCCTAGTGTGTGGGTGTGCGTATATGCATTTAGCTCATATCTGGTTAGCTGTCTCTCTCTCTCTCTCTCTCTCTCTCACCCTCCCTCCCTCTCTTCCGGTTAAAAATATTTGAGAGAGAAAGAGATCGTTACAAATGGAAACTAAAGAGTGATTTGGAGGACAAAAAAGTCCCAAGTTATATTGACTTTTTTTATTTTTAAAAATTTTTAGAACTATTAAAGTATTTATGGGTAAAAACATCATTTTACATGTTTCATTAATATCATCTGACAGGGGATGCCTGGTGTTATTTTTCAAATTACAGGAGAGGTTCCTGTAAGGCTGTAATTATGCCTAACCTCAGGGGAAAGTAATATAGTTTACCCATAATTCAAATTTGTATAACAACCAAGGGTAGCCTAGTGGTATTGTCACCTTCACCCACATTTGGATGTCAAGAATTCAATTCCCTATTGGGGCAAAAGTGGGTGTGTGAGTGTGTTGGGTGTGTTCTCAAATATATATAATGTTTAATTGTGTTTTTGTTCTTTAGACCATGATCCCTGGGGTATGTGAGAAAGGATTGTTTTAGCTTGAAAGCAGAAAATTTAGTTTTCAAACTAAATAGGTTTTTATAAACACCATTGTCTTTTTAATATTGAACAAAGAGAAGATGCTTTCCTGCATGTAGGTGTCTCAGCAAATTACAATTATGTTTCTTGAGAAGCCAAATAGTTGATGCCATCTTTAAGCATGAGAAGGAAAAAGTTCTACACAACATCATTAATCAAGATTAAAAAAATGGTGTCCTTTATTAAAGGAACCTCTTTAAGTTTATACAGTTATCCTTTTGTTTTTTGTTTTTAAAAATGCCACAAGGAGCAGATATAGACTGCTGTATATAGTTGTCTGCACAGGAGCTACTACCTGATAGAACATAATGTAAATGTTTCTCAACTATGAGTGCAAATCTAGTACCTCTGCACCACAGAAATGTTGCTTCAGGTGCTGATATGTGTGGACCGGTTGCTGATATGTTTAATGGAGATAGAAAGACAGGAGATTGATGATGCTTTTTGTTTAAGTTACATCTGATTGTATTTGCAGGGTTTTTTACTTGAAAGAAATCCTGAGAATGCTGCTGCAATCATTCAAGTCCTCAGTCAGGTACTTCTATTATGCAGGTCTAATTTATAAGAGGAACTTCCTGTCCTTCCTTCTTACTAAACTCCACCAAAAACCAGAAAGAAGGCTTATCAGTCCTGATATTCAATAAAAAAAAAAATTACATTTGAAAATTACTATTATCTTGTTAATTTTCATCACAAGTGACAGACAAGTCCTGGGGGACCAAATACTTCACCAACTTCAAAGTAGTATAGAAATTACTATGCAAAAAAGTATTGATTAATGTCAAGTTTGTCGCATCTCTTTAGGGAGCAATAATTGAAAATACTATACGTGGCTGGGTGTTTTTTTGGATTCCATACTGATGTTTTTGCCTTTTGTAATATGGTCATATTTGTGATATTAAAGGAAGAGGTAGCAGTAAAAGGTTTAAACTTTCCTTGTTGTCTTGTATTATAGTATATTCTCTGTTATGAGACCATAATGTATATCTGTCTTCCAGACTTTACCTGATGAAAAGAAGCCTGGAATTATGGTTGAACTTCAAAAGCTGGTTAGTGAGTGGCCTTTGGAGGTTATAAAGCATCAGAAAGAGGGGGACAGGAAGGTAAACTGTTGCATTATGTTATTTTGCAGCTTTTGCCCCAAATTGGAAATCATTAAATGTCTTGAGAAAGAATTCTCACTCTTTTGGGGATACAGTGATGTTTGCTTTCTTTCGATCTTTTTCATCATGATGGAAAGGTTGAAATCTCATCAACTTAGGAAGTGAAGAGAGAAAATCAATGCCAGGGTGGTTGGCTAAGTAATTGATTGTCATAGCAATTTGAACTCATGCCTTTTAACCTCAAATTTTCAGGTCATGCATCTTTCAGTTCAAATTTCCTCTCATCTTCGTGATTAGACCACTCCCCTTTTTATCAGATTGGGTGATGAGACATGTTTAACTGTAATACTGAAGGATTAATTTCTTTGACTTGGCACTCAAATCTTGTCAGGATTGGAGGACCTCCTTTTCCATTTTGTAGCTCTTCCAGGTGCTGTTTGGTGTTTTTTTATCTTCACAAAACATCATGTATTTGTCAAAAGAAAATATTTAAGAAGTTTATCTCACATCGTGTCACAGCCATGCATTTATCCTGTGTCCCATACAGTCTTGTAGCATATATCAGGTTTTCCATTTTCTCTATCTTCTGCCAGTATTGAACTGTTGACTTCTAGATACACCCTCCATTGTCTATACTCTTTGCCAGTTGAGCAGACTTGGCCAATTCTGGTCCTTTCAGTGTTGTGAGAATGATGATCTAAGGCTGTGTTTTAGGTCAAGGATTCAGAGAAATTTGAGGCCGAAAGGAATTTGAGAATTCTTAGTTTTAAAATTCTTTGTTTGGATAGAAAGGTGAGACTTTTGAATTTATCCTCAGAAATTCAAGAAGGAACTTTCGGAGTGCAAACATGTAAGATAAAATTTCCCAAAAAAGTTCTTGGGAGGTAGCTGATCTCTTAATGTATAAAAGGCCTTAATCTCTCTCTCTCATGGTACCACTCATTTTAAACTCTTGCTTCCCTATACATGAACGCATATTCCAGAGTTCAGTTCGACCTTGGAATATATATTTTTTTCTTAGTTGGTGGTACTCACACATACATGACTCCACTGAGGCTTGAACCCCTGACCTCCCTTTGGGAAGTAGGGTCTGGTACCGCTAGGCTGCTCGCCTGTTGGTGACCTTGGAATATATTGCTTCATTTACTTTTTTTATATTTAGTTTAAGCATACATGATAAAGTATGGATTACTTTTCTAGAGAATTCTGATTAGATATACTTAGATTTAAAACCAGCATGCATTGTCTTTCTATAGAATTACCCCCGCCCAAAAAAAAAGTTCAGATAATTCAAATTCAAGGATTTAAAAAAAGGTAAGTTTTAGAACCCTTCATTACAGATATCTCAAAACACGTTTAAATTCTTCATTCAAATGCTCTCTAAGTGGTTCTTCTTTATCCTGTCGGAACTGAGAATATTTATGCTTAATAATAATACCCAGTTTTTCCCATTATCTTCCATGTCAGATAACCTTAATTCTTTGGGTTGCCACTTTATTTCATGATAATAGAATTTTGGAAAATTTCCATTCTGCAGTTGCATTGTCAACTATGTTTTATATACTGCCACTGACATTGAAGCCATTACAAAAATAATTACTTAGTACTCCACTTCCACAAAGAGTTCCATGCCATGTCTGTTTTTGAAGTTGAGTCTTGAATGTACAATCAAGCACTATCCCGAAAGAATGCACATATTTAATTTCTTGTCAAATGGAATTATTGACGATGATTCTTATACAAATCTCTCTACGTCCTGTTTTCTTGTACAGGCACTGGCTGCTGGTTTACAAAATGACATCCCTGCCATGCTTAGCAGCTTATTAAACATGGGTTTAGAGGTGGACGTAAATATGGAAGACCTGACAAAAGGTGATTTATGCTGAAATATTTGGCCGGTCACCGTATGTTAGTGTTGAAAAACGAGAAGCTCTATTTCCTGTTTTGGGCTGCAATACGTAGAAAAACTACTACAGTCAGTATTCCTGAAAATGAGCACCTTGGTTAACTGTCCTGTTTCCGCAAGACTAGTCACTTCAGAAAGCTGGATCACGATATCCAACCGGTGCAGAAGATATTGTTAACTGGCGGGGCATGATCCTAGAAAGCAGTTACCCTTTTGTGGTGTTTTAATATACCTAAGAATAAAAAGAAAAGAAAAGAAAATTTGATTATCTGAACACATTCATAGAGCAGTAGTGATTTTTGTATTGAGAAAGTTGATGCTCTCTCTATGGTAAGCGTAAACTTTAGCATTATTGAATTTTCTTCCGACATTTTGATTGTATAATTATACAAGGTATTCTGTCTTTTATTTGAAAAAATTCCTCTCGTTACGAAGTTGACCGATCTAGGGTTAAATTCATGAATCAAGATCCTCTCTCGTGCATTCCATCCATGTTCATGTGCATTTTAAATTTAGAATGCAACGTACCACGTAACACACATGAAACACCGATGCAGTTACTTATGCAATACATTACCTAGGATGTGGAACTCCGACGTATTACATCAAAATGCAATACTGTAACACCATTAAATCGAGCATGCAACATATTGCAGTCTCATTTTGATGGTGTTGCATGCTTGAATTATTATTTTTTAATTGCAAAGGCTTGGTACAATATACAATAGTGTACCAGAGGGTATCTGGATTCCAAAGTCATGCGTATAAATTGTTACCAGGCAAACAAAAGATATATATGAAAAGAAAAATATTAATAAAATTTATCATTTGGAAAAGAATTTGTACCTAGAGGATTTGCGCATGTAATATGTTATGTTTGACATAGGGAGTATATGCTTTAATAATTAAAGTATAAGTATACTCCAACACCAAACAGACTTTCACGAATTTGTAACATCCAAAACTATGATTCCACATGAGACAATCTTAATCTTTGAGAGTTTAAAAAATAATAGTAATAACAATAAAAAATAAGAAAAAGTAAAAAGCAAAAATAAAAATATTTCCCCAAAACTGATCACTACTGTTTCTATGAACAGTTTGCTTACATGAGAGTCGACTTTGTCTTTTCGCCCTTCTCATCTTTGTATCTATATGCATGAAAACCAACAATCGAAATAGCCCCTAAAACAAGAGAGAAACAAAAACATAAAATTACTAAAATATGAATTGTCTATAATCCGTAAAATCCCTGTCTTGATCTTCTCCGCCGTGTGTACTCCATCGCCGCCCGTAACCGTCAACTTCAAGTGCCCTCCGTTCACGGCCACATTCGCCAGCCAAAACCTCCGCCCGATGCATCGCAAACACTTCAACAATCTCCGTCACCAAAATAGTACCACCTCCGAGACAACGATTCGATCTCAAAGAACACAATTCCATCGGAGAACGCAACGTCGACAGAGAAATTCCGGTTGGAACAGTGACAAAATGTTGGTTTTCGGGATGACGAGGCCGGCGACCGCTGCTTCTTCAGCTCCTCCAACGTCTTTCTCTCCTCCTCAAGTCGTCGAATGAGTTCCATTGTATTCGTAACACTAATCTCCCTTGTTGCCTCCGATTGTGTGTGTATATTGTGTGTTATAGAGCGGGAGAGATATATTATGTTTCAGAAATTGTAACTGCCGCTTCAATGATACATACATCTATATAATTCACAAATATATATGTTCAGATTGCATGAACGTAAGCAAATTGAAAAGAGAGGTATATTATTAGGACATGAGGGAAAAAGTTTTAAAAGTGTTAATAAACTTCTAAAATATAGGAAAAATTACATATAAATGGAGTCAAAGTTTCATATTTACTTAGAGACTGAGTCAAAGTTCCATATTTCTCTAAAATGGATTGCTGAGGTGGCACATGATTTTTTACTGTTTAGAGAATTGTGGTGCCTAAAATGCCCTTTCCTAACAAAAAAGTAGTACCTTCAGTGCAAAAAAGTAGTACCTTCAGTTCAAAAAAGTAGTACCTTCGCGGGTATTTAAAAAATATGGTACCTGGACGCAAAAAAGTAGTACCTTCAGTTCAAAAAAGTAGTACCTTCGAAGAAAAAGTAATACCTTCGCGGAAGGGTATTTTAGGCACCACAATTTCTAAACAGTAAAAAACCATGTGCCATATCAGCAATCCATTTTAGAGAAATATAGAATTTTGACTCAGCCTTTAAGTAAATATGGAACTTTGACTCAATTTATATGTAATTTTCCCTAAAATATATATCCTAAAATTGAAAACTAAAGTTACAAGTCTTTAGTTCTTATTAATAAATTGTTCGAGTATCACATCATAAAAATATTATATAAATGTATGTAGAAACAAAAATAAAAAGTCAGTATGTAAAACATGAATAAATAAACCTAACTAATAATTAAAAATGCCAACTAAAATTTAAAAAAAAGTAAAAGTTTGTTACCTAATGATTAAGGAGTCATGTTTCTTGAACTATGTTCTTGCTAAATGTTAAGACCCGATGATAACTCTAAAAATAAGAAAACACTCAAGTTGTGAAGAAGAGGTTTCACAATCTCACTCATAACAATTAAAACACCACCATCTAAGAACTATTTGTATCATGTATCGACTCAACCCAACCCAACCCAAGTATGCTTTCAATCAAACTATTGGACAACTATCAATAGAGAGAGGTGTGATTACGGATAGCTGTAATTAGCACATATTACACTTAGCTCTTATGTTAAATTACTCCAATAACAAAGTACAATGCATTAGTTTAGGAATAATCTTCAAAATTAACAAATCAATATCCTGATATTCTGCACTCTAATAACAAAAGAAAATCAAAAACTAAAATTTGAAAATAAAAATATGGCAGAAATATTGAATATATCCTTTGTGCATTATATACAGATTGTATTTCTATGTGAAACAAAACATCCAGGATTTCTCAATGGGGTTTGCTAAATCAAAATATATCAACCAAAATCAAGTGTTGTTTAATTCAACTTTAGTGAACTAACAATGTTTCTTTAGACAATGGACTGATTAAGGCATAGAAAATTCTATTTGGGTAATTAATAAAAAAAAAAAATACCAATTTATTTATGAACAATTCACCACTTAGTACCCTATCTCTTCTTTTGACCAATTTACAATCCTATTTGAGAATCTACTAGTGGAAGCAGAGTGTTTCATAGCAAGCCCCTTCCAACACCATGGAATTCACTCAAAAGCATGCTTTTTGTAAGTATTTTAATTTTCAAGAAGAAACTTTAGTTAGAGCTTTACCCTATATTAACTACTTTTGCTTGTCAAAGTTATTGTTATGATTGTTATTTTTTTTTTGTTGTCAATTATGTCTACAAGAAAATTTGAATCTGGGCATGAAAAAAAAAAAAAACACAAGCAAAAATAGAAGTTCTAGGAAAAAAATTTTTTTTGTTTTGCTGAAGTAAAATGTAGATTACGGTGATTACCTCAAAATGCAATGCAAATTATGTTACTTTATATTGTTAAAAAAAAAAAAATTATATAAAAAAGATGATATAAAATTTCACCAAATAGGATATATATATATATATATATATATATATATATATATATATATATATATATGGCCAAAAACAACCAACCAGTCAAATGGTCAAATCTATCGATTAAAAGCAGGTTTAGTACTGGAGTTAGAGGATTTGGCTGATTTGATTCTGATATAGTGATAATGTGGGACGTACTGAGGAGAATTCCTCTTTTGTTTACTGGAACCTATGATGCAATCTAAGAAAAAGAATTTACGATTAATTGAGGAACCGATACCTCTAATACAACTCAAGGTTGAACAATGGATAAGCATACTTTATTCATGATTCCTTCAACTTAAATAGAAGCTACTTACAACAGAAAATCAGTAACAGTAGGACTCTACCAACTAACATAGAGAATTAAGAGGACTCTACCAACAAAATAGCAAATGAAGTTAACTTGCAATTAATTCAGGAGAACACTATTTCTTTCCTGTTTATTAGGCCTCAACCAACTAACAGAGATGCCATGAGCTGGAAGAATATAATGACAAATATAATAAAAGGAAATACGCAACAATGTGCCTCCCCCTTAAAAGGCAGCCTTGTCCTCAAGGTCCTGATCTGGAAACTGATTTTTCATTGCTAGCAGGTCCTCCCATGTTGCCTCTGCACGGGATAATCCTTACCAATGGATGAGAACTTCTGCCTTCCTCTTACGAACTCGACGATCTAGAACTGCTTGTGGTTTAGGATAGAGAGTTTCATCTTCATCTCTTGTTATGGGCAACTCAGTCTGAACTTGAATTTGCTTACCAATTTTTTTCTTCAACAAGGACACATGGAAGACTGGATGAATTCGGGATTCCTTCGACAACTCCAGCTTATAAGCAACAGCTCCTATTTTCTTAAGAACCTTGAATGGCCCATAATATTTAGGAGATAGCTTGAGATTCTTCCACAATGATACAGATGTTTGTCGATAAGGTTGGAGTTTTAAATAAACCCAATCTCCTTCTGCAAACTCTCTTTCTCTATGGGAGTTATCATAAATCTTCTTCATACGCGACTGTGTTTCCTTGAGAGTATTCCGTAAGTCCTTGATGACTTGATCTCGATTCACTAATTGCCTCTCTACTGCTTCAACCTTAGCCAAACCTGGAATGTAGGATAATAAGGTTGGTGGAGGTCGACCGTACACAACTTCAAAAGGGATGGTTTTAATAGCTGAATGCCAACTGGTGTTGTAACAATATTCAGCCTAAGCTAACCAGTTATTCTACTTCTTTGGTTGGGAACTGGTGAAGCACCGCAAGTACATTTCTAGCGTTCGATTTACCACCTCACTTTGGCCATCGGTTTGAGGATGGTAGCTTGAGCTATAGTTAAAATTAGTGCCATTTATCTTGAATAATTATGACCAAAATATACTTGTGAAGGTTGGATCACGGTCACAGACAATCGATCTGGGCATTACATGCAGCTTAAAAATATTATCAAAAAAAACTTGTGCGATTCCAATGGCGGTGTATGGATGTGAAAGGGAAATAAAATGTGTATATTTAGACAACCTATCCACAACCACAAAAATAGTAGATTTTCCATTGGATAAAGGCAGTCCATCAATGAAATCCATAGAGATGTCTTCCCATACCTGATTTGGAATTGGCAGAGGTTGAAGTAAGCCTGCCGGAGAGAGTTGTTCTGCCTTGTGACATTGACATGTGTCGCATACCGCAATTAAGCTCCTGATGTTGTTCCTCATTCCTTTCCAATAAAAATTTGCGCGTATCCTTTGGAGAGTATTTTGATAGCCTTCATGGGTGCTGTTGTGAAATTGACAGATAATATCTTTAATTAAGGAAGAATTTTCATCAAGATAAATTCTTTCCTTA